GGATGGATGGATGGATGGATGGATGGATGGATGGATGGATGGATGGACACTCATTACCACAGAATCCTCCTTTTGTTCATTCAGTTCCTGTAAGCTTGTTTTAAAGAAAACTTATGTTGCAGTGTAAAATTATTTTTTTTCTAAGTGATTCTTTGCACAGGATTTTGTTTGAACTGTGATTATGGATACATAAATATAAACAGTATATATATTTTTTATTATTGAATTGCAGCCTTCTGAATTATAATCGAGTCAAATCAAGTAAAAATGTATCGAGTCCCACTACCTACAAAAGAAATTATTGTTTTATACCTAAACCCTCAAAAAACAGTTCAAGTGAAAATAATACAAATTTTTTTATACCACCCGTCTTTGCATAAGATTATTTACCAGAAAGAACATATATATATTACACTCAGACTTTGCTAAATAAACCCAGTGTTTGAGGCTGTCAGATGGAAAAGTCAAAGTCTTGAATGCAAAAGTTAAACTGCTAGGTATCTTCAGAGGTCGAACATTTAAAAAGAAAAAACATATTTTGTGGTTGATGTGTTCTGAGCAGTGGTTAGCTTGACCTGTCAATCAGGAATCCTGCTTGTATATTACAACTGAGAAGAGACTGACTGCAACTGGCTGCAGGTAAAACACAGTTTACTGATTAGAGTGGTGCTTGAAAGTTTGTGAACTCTTTATAATTTTCTATATTTCTGCATCAATATGATCTAAAACATCATCAGATTTTCACTCAAGTCCTAAAAGTAGATAAAGAGAACCCAGTTAAACAAATGAGACAAAATATTATACTTGGTCATTTATTTATTGAGTAAAAAGTATGTGAACCTTTGCTTTCAGTACCTGGTGTGACCCCCTAACTGTAACTAAACGTTTCCAGTAACTGTTGATCAGTCCTGAGGCTTGGAGGAACTTTAGTCCATTCCTCCGTACAGAACAGCTTCAACTCTGGATGTTGGTTTCCTCACATGAACTGCTGCTTCAGGTTCTTCCACAACATCTGGATTGGATGAAGGTCAGGACTTTAACTTGACCATTCCTACACATGAACACTTTATTCTTCTTGAACCATTCTTTGGTAGAACCACTTGTGTGCTGAGGGTCATGGTGTCGTTGCATGACCCACCTTCTCTTAGATTCAGTTCATGGACAGATGTTCTGACATTTTCCTTTAGAAGTCTCTGATATAATTCAGAATTCATTGTTCCATCAATGATGTCAAGCTATCCTGGCCCAGATGCAGCAACACAGGTCCAAACCATGATACTACCACCACCATGTTTTACAGATGGGATGAGGTTCTTATGCAGGAATGCAGAGTTTTCATTTCTCCAAACAAAACTCTTTTCATTTAAACCAGAACGTTTTATTTTGGTCTCATCGTCCACAAAACATTCTTCCAACAGTCTTCTGGCTTGTCCACGTGATCTCTATTAAACTGCAGATGAGCATCAATGTTCTTTTTGGAGAGCAGTGTCTTTCTCCTTCAACCCTGCCATGAACCATTGTTGTTCAGAGTTCTCCTGATGGTGGACTCATGAACATTAACATCAGTCAATGTGAGAGAGACCTTCAGTTGTTAGAAGTTACCCTGGGCTCCTTTGTGACCTCGCCCACCATGCCTTGCTCTTGGAGTGATCTTTGTTGGTCCACCACTCCTGGGGAGGGTAACAATGGTCTTGAATTTCCTCCATTTGTACACAATCTGTCTGACTGTGGATTGGTGGAGTCCAAACTCTTTACAGATGTTTTGTAACATTTTCCAGCCTGATGAGCATCAACAACTCTTTTTCTGATCTCCTCAGAAATCTCCTTTGTTCCTGCCATGATCCACTTCCACAAACACGTTGTGAAGAGCAGACGTTGATAGATCCTGTTCTTTAAATCAAACAGGTGCCCACTCACACCTGATCATCATCCACTGATTGAAAACACCTGACTCTAATTTCACCTTCAAATTAACTGATAATCCTAGAGGTTCACGTACATCAACTACTCACAGATATGTAATATTGGATCATTTTCCTCAATAAATAAATAATCAAGTATAGTATTTTGCCTAATTTGTTTAACTGGGTTCTTTTTATCTACTTTTAGGACTTGTGTGAAAATCTGATGATGTTTTAGGTCAGATTGATGCAGAAATATATTGCAAAGACTTCACAAACTGTCAAGCACTACTGTACTTTCCAACATCTCACTTTCAAAAATTTACTTTCATTTTTCATTCTGACATACGTCATATTTTCTCTCAAACAACACTCGTGCAAACATAAGTACCCAGTTTATATATGCCTCTATTTTTTCCACACGCTTTTTAAAATTGCTTCCACACTTTACCTCTTGCTCCTGTTCCAGGTGCTGTTTCAGTTCTTCAAAGCGCTCCCTTTTCTTGGCCTCCTCAGCCAGACGCAGTGACACCTGGCGCCCTGCAGGAGGTGAGGGAGATAACAGTGGGCTGTTTACCCCTCCACACAGAAAAGTAATGCAACAACTCCCATCTCTCTCTTCCTCTAACATGTGCACCACAACCCAAACATCACCATCTGCCACAGAGTCGAACAAGCCAAGACGTGCACAGAGCATTAGACTAGTCATTCACCTCTCCTTCCCAATTTTGCCTCATGTTTTTTGTAGGAAGAATTGATGTGAGGAGTTTGCTAGCATGTGCGAGTGATGATTAAATTTCACAGCCTGTAGTAAGTAAGACTATTCACATAATTCCTCAATGTGACTGGCCCCTATGCATCTTTGCTGTTCTCCTGAGGGGAACTGAGGAAGGTTCTTGTTGGATACAACAAAGTGTAATTAGTGTTAAACCATTTGTCCAAGATATATTCAGCTGGGTGGGGGAGGGGGGGCATGCATGAACATCAAGAGCTATATAAATATCATTCTCACAGTGTAAGTGTGTTTCTGTGTGTTTAAGTGTGACACCAACCTCGGATGCTCTCCAGGGTTTTTGCTGCCGACTCTCTGACCTGATTGATCAGCTCCTGGCGGGCCTGCTCTGCTCGCAGGGCCTAACAACAGACAGGCAAGAAATCATCATTAACAAAGATTTATTCTCCTGCTCTGTGGCTCACCTCTCCTCTCTCCCCCCTTTCCCAAGCCCGTCACAGATGCCAGCTGCACACACAGTACTGGCCATGTAAATTAGAGGGCTGTATTACAGCAAGGACAAGCCCCAAGGCAAGTCCCACCATAATGGCTGATGTAGGAGGGGTGGGGGTTGGGAGAGAGATTGTCAGAATTAAATAAACCCTCATAGAAATGCAACATGCTGCATGAATACTTATATTTGCATCATTACTTGCTCCTCCCTGCTGATAGCGCTGTGCTTCGCAATCCTCTCCATGCGTCCGCGATACACAGCGCAGTCTCTCTCAATCTCCTCCACCTCCTGGAGGGAGAAGGTGACAGCAATGCGGGGTACCGGCAGCTCCGACCAGCAGATGTAGTGCTGTGGAAACACATTTGGAAGGAAGTTGGTGCTACAGTTTCAAGTGTTAATTCAGACGACTCATCATGTTGACATCGTATTTTATAACCTCAAAGTTCATTTTATAAACAAAATATGTTGCACCAGCTGTCTGGAAGTGTAACTCTCTCTCACTGCTACATCTGAAAACAAACAGAAAGCTAGCATGAGACAGGGAGGGGATCTAAACACAGTTCAACTTAAATGCTTTGTAAAAACCTGTTGTATTTCAATTCAAGTAGTTTATTAGCTCAGTCAAATAGTCACTTTTATTTTGTTCTAGAGGAGTAGGTACTGGGTTTCATTTTATTTGACCATTTCTAGTTTAACAACATGAAGGAACTACAATCCAGTTTAGGACACTAATAAAAAATGATAATCTTTCACTAAATTAAGACTGTTACCAAAACACACTTCACACAACTGATTATAAGAATAGTTTGGTGTCATTTGATTTATACAAATAAAATTATTCATATGCGACCATTAATATGAATTATTAAGTAGACCAACTGTTCCCACTTTATTTTGTTGAGAATTGAAGCCAGGGGGCTGCCATGCTTAATTTTGGAACCAGAGTCTGTGCCCTAGGGATGTGTGGATGAGTTTCACCTTCTCCCCCACACACAATCAAGGTGCTACATGAGCTTTCCTTTAGGCATGAAAGAACTAATTACAGCTACAGTGTTAAATAAATAAATATTTGAACATATAATAATAATAATGTCATCACAATGTCAGCACTGTATGTTTCCATACAATGGCGAAATTAGTCTCTGCATTTAACCCATCCACCACCAGGTGGTGCAGTGGGCAGCTATTGAAAGCGCCCGGGAGGCATTTTGGGGATGAGGTGTGCTGCCCAAAGATACCACGTGATGTGCAGTGACTGGGGATCGAACCTGGGACTTTTGGGTCCCAAGCCGGCTGCCCTGCCTCTACACCATCTCGGCCCGGAAAAAGCTCAAACAAAAGTCAACACCTGAAAAAAGTACGTAAGCAAAGTAAAGCCATTCCCTTAAAAACACACAACTATTTCAAACAGCAGCAAGGAAATGCAGAAAAAACTGAGTTATAGGGCTGGGCGATATATCAATATTTTAAAAATATTGAGATAATTTCATATGCGATATAAGATGGGACTATATCGTCTATATCGATAATTCTACGTGGCATTATAATCAGACTTGAAAATCCGTGTAGTTCTTTTTCTGCCCGTTTGTGCCGCCAACTTCATGCGGCCCCTCTTTCTTCCTCACATGCTGCTTCACACACGCTTACTAACGTCCTGAAGGTGGCGCAGCTGACAAGGATTATTATTTAATATAAGTAAATAGTTTATTTTTAGACATTTATTCTGTAGAGTTACAGCTGTTTAATAAACGTGCCTGTGTGACAATTGGGTCAAAGCTTTGACTCAGAAATATATTTTTGTTATTACTTTACGGAAAGAAAAAATATCAATATATATATTGTTTATCGTAATTTATCTTAAAATATCGATATTAATTTTTGTCCTTATCGCCCAGCCCTACTGAGTGACACTATTGATTCCCATCCATACTTAATGTATTTGCTGCAAACAGCACTTAGAACTTCTGCTAGCACTGAATAACTTTTTAATACCCATCATGAAACATACTAGTATTTCTACACAACAGTCAAGTGTACTTTATTCTTCCTACTTCTTCTTCCATGAATGGTGTCAAATGTGCAAAACAAACCTGTGGGCAGCAGATTTTGAGGAGGTTGATGGTCTTTCCACAGACATACACATCGTTGGCAATGTGTCTCAGGAAGGCTGGCACACAGTCCTCCACGTCCTTTGAGATCAGCGTGTAGCCTTGGACCCAGAAGTTTTTGTCTGCACAAATTCAAATGTGTGTATTACATGTGGTACTTTAAATTTGAGTAAATGTTTTTATGGTCCAGTTTGATTTTTAAGTGCACAACATTACTACTGTGACTGAAAAACTTAAAATTGCTCACAGAGGGAATCTAGTCCGAGTCTAAAACTTTACCCCATTAGTATGACTTGCAGGGCATGGCAAAACTCTGGCTGCTTGAATTAACACTAGGAAATTGTTGGCACTTGGCTCAGTGATCCTGAGCAAAAAGCATAAGAGAACATGAATTCACAAGCTTTCAGAGCTCTTTACAGAAAGCCTGCGGCTTGCCAAGAAAGCTTTGCTGCTGATTGCTTCCTTGGCCGACGGAGTTCCAAGAGAACAATGACATTTGTGTGTCCTCCAAAAGGCAGGAGTGAGCACTGTGGAGGTTCGCTGCTGAATTGATGAGGTGTGGCCGATGAGCAAATGAAACTGTTAGCCAGACAAAGCAGACATGATGGTCTGACCTTGAAAGGGATGTTGCATGACATACAACATTTGGACAGGCCACAACGATTCATGCCACAATATATTTACACGACACTGTCAAAATTAAAAGGCTGCAGCTTGTACATTTGGGGGGTGAGTTTCAATGAATACTGTTCTTTGTGTATATAAAGTCATATTCAACCAGAACATAATGCTTTTCAATTACATTTAATGTGTTGATTATTCTCTTAACCTTTCTGTAAAGGTTAAGTCAGCCAGCCAGTTCCTGTAAATTAGATGGATTTGTCTGCCTTCATCTCCTCCTGTCTTAACTTCACTCCTCCCTCCTTGTGGAATTCTGTCATTATTTGGACAAAATGAATTCACTTCATCCAGTCCAAGTTTGTCATTCATTATAAAAATCTGTTTCTGGAGCTATTTTTGTGTTTGGATCAGCATGGTGTACCAAACACAAAGAATAAAAGAAAATAATTTGTGTTTGTCTCTGTGGTTTACTGACTGGAGGTAGGTGTCCCTGCAGCTGAGGCAGCGGATTCTGTTTCCCACTGATTATCATCCAATAACTTTATGACATCCTTTATAGACACAAGGACAAATCCAACTACGCAGTAAGGGCCAAAATGAAATCTGTTTGTTGCTTTTTCCTTACTAGACAGTCTGTCTGGAAGGCTTTTCATTTAAAGAACCTGCTGACTGAAGTATTTAAGTGATGCACTGTGTTCATGTGTATGTGTGGCATCTTACCCCTGAAGCTGAGGTATTCCTCGTTGACTTTAATCATGAATTCTCCATAAACATCTCGAAACACACCACTGTAGACCCAGTCAGAAACAAACCTAAGTGAAGCAGAAACACAACAGTCAGGCAGAGTGCTGACTAAAGCTGTCATTTCTAACTTGAATGGTCGGTGATATAAGCAGTCAAAGCTTAATTAAAAATAAAATGTCGGGGGGGGGGGGGGGGGGGCGGACCTGTAATTACTGTTAATTCATCAGATTGGGTGGGGTTCGGAGATGATGGCTGCGGGCTGGGTCGGTTCAGATTATTTGGACCTGAGTGCAACTCTAGTGCTGACACACCAAGTTCAATAGTTTTTCCAGTCAAAAGGCAGAAAATGTTTTTAACTTTGTGTGTGTGTGTGTGTGTGTGTGTGTGTGTGTGTGTGTGTGTGTGTTTTATCCCTAATACACAGGCTGAGTGCTAATCAATTGTGCAAGATACCTGTTCAGAATTTTGTAAATAACTATGGAGTCAACTCTGTTAACAAAATATCGCATATCGCACTAGACTGATTTTAAGAAAACTCAAGTTGGATGTACATCTACAACTGATTAACTTTGGAATCAATCCAGTAAACATGGCTGCCACATCTAATCAACATTAGCTATACAAATATTGAGCAAAAATTTGATATAATAGAAGCTGAGAATCATTATGAGATCGCATGAGAATGTACATAACATTATGTACAATGTTTGATTAAAATGGCTCCAACTTTAGCATTTCTCAAAAATATGATTTTTAAACTCCAGCATGAAAGGTGATGGTCAATATGCATTCCTTCAAGGAATACTAGGTCTTTTAATAGAAACAAGGACTGACCGTGTGTATGGCTCACAGCTGCTCTTCAGCAGCGACAGTAGGACGGGATAGTTCTCGTTGCTGCAGTTGTTCTGTGCTTCGTTGTACAAATAGGACAGCAGTTTAACCCCCTGAGGAGAGGTCACACGGCACAGACCTGACATCTCATGTGGAAGGTTAAACACCGTCATGATCAATGTTAAGCTGCTGTTTGAAGAGAAACAAGCACTCACCACAGGAAAGGTAGCTTGGCCTGCACCTAAAGGCCCGTCGACACAGCACAGCTCTGATAGGTACCTTAAGATTCAAAAAGGACAGAAAGTACTTTCATCTCATAGCATCTGCATCTTGGTTCTGTCTATCAGAACATGACTGAGCTGTTTGACTAAATAAATCAAAGCTACATATGTGTGAAGAACACAAAGCCCTGAAAAAATTCCAAGTGGCTTGACCTCACCTGAGCTGGCGGCCAACTTTGCGAAAGAGGAATCCAATTGTTAGCAGGCTGAGAGTAGGTGGGGTGCTGAGAACACAAGCCCTGTAGTAATGTAGATACTTCCTCAGACCTCCAGTGAAGGCCTTGGAAAAGAAGAAATACTTTTTAGATGACTATACGCTGATATCAAACCAACAAAATTATGTATCTGCCTTTTGTATGAATAGATGACTGTACTTGACTTCTGTAATTATTTATTTTAATAAGTAATTTGGACCCATTGCTATTTATCCATGAATAGGTCTTCTCTTTTAGGATTTTTTTGAGTTTTGTCAAAAATAAATTGTTTATGTTAAGTTGAGCTACTCTTCTCAAATAGCCCCTTAAGGCATGATTAAAACTTTCTAAATTTATGAACACAACACTGGTAGCAACTGTTCAAGAGCAGAAAACAAGTGGAGGAAACTGTGAGGTCCCAGTGGTATTAATTAATGATGATTATACCAACATACCTGGAAGACTAGGCCCTTCTTGTCAGCACTCTGCAGAGAAAAGCGGCCAAGCCTCAGGTAGTAAGTGCCATACTGAGCCAACTCCCCCAAAAGACGAGACACGCTCTCCGGAGAGGCCCCTGACACGCACACACTGGGCCTGACGTCAAACTGAATGCTCTGAGGTAGGAAACATATGTACAAGACAATAAGGAAATGTGCAGTCTAATAAAGTCCACTGTGCTTGAAGTCCATATAATATAAGACTATGTTGGGGAGTCACCTCCAGGGTGATTTCTGAAGGCATTGTGGTGGATTTATTATATTAGACAACAATACATAAGCAGGTATGTGTTTTCCAGTCTTTGCCATCAAAGTTTTATGAGAACAAGATATTGTGTTTCTAGGCAGCATTCTTCTGGGAGAAACAAAAATAACAAGAACAATAATTTTGCAGCTGCAAACCGCAGCGGCAAAGGCATACCTGACTACACCAGCAAAGTTCAGATGTCACAGAAAAACTTGGAAGTATTAACCTACACAATTAATATTAATGTGCAGAAACATTATTACATGAATAATGTTTGAACTCAACCTAATTCAACATGCCTGCCACAGCCAACTTACCTTAGAAAATACACTAACGGCTATAGCTCAGCAAATTTTACAAATATTGGGCTATAATTTGATGCAGTAGGAGCTGAGCTTTCACCTGAACACATACATCAAGCACAACAACATGAGACAGCATGGACTAAACCTTACCATCAACTGTTGAAGTCAACCTTGTCTTTCAGCTAGCAAAACATTTCATAAACCACTGGGGGGGGGGGGGGGGGGGGGGGAAATTGTAAGAAAAAAGAGGTTGGACGTCAATGAC